GTACCAGGACAATAGGCCTGAGTCAGCGTGCCTCCCAGGTTCACATTTCTTACCAATGCTGTCATATGTGGACACTCCCGATGCATAGTGACCCTCCCCTTCACACCTGGACACGTTTTCAGACACTCATTGTCACCCTCAATGGACACGCGTGCCTTCAACCCTGCATCTGACCTACTAACTGGGGAGGTACCTTGTCCCATGGTCCCGTTCAGAATGCTGTGGGGGTGCTCAGTCCAGTTCTCCACGTTTGAGTCAGTGGGGGCTGACAGATTTGAGGTCCCAGCGGAGATTGGATGGAAGGGGAAGTGAATTCAAGCCTCTGGTCCGCCTGAAAGGGCTTAGATCAGCTGGGCCAGTGTTCTCCCAGACTCCTCCTCCAGTCAGGCAGCTTGGACCAACTGTAGATCAAGGGTGCCCTCTGGTGGCCATAAATGGTCTCTGCGCCCATCCACGGATGACAGGCAGCCAGTTGCTGACTTTGACGCTGTGGACAGAGAGGACAGAGAGGACACAGAGCACACAGAGCACACAGGCCCACGGACTGAAGTCCAGAGGCAGAAACCCAGATGCAGAACTCAGAGCCTGTAATCCAGATCTCAGGACCCAGGATCAGCCTCTAGAGTCCAATCATTCTGGGTCGGGCGCAGTGGCTCACACCTGTAATCCCAGCACTTTGGGAGGCTGAAGCAGGCAGATCACGAGGTCAGGAGTTTGAGATCATCCTGGCTAACACAGTGAAATCCCATCTCCACTGAAAATACAAAAAGTCATCTGGGCGTGATGACATGCACCTGTAGTCCCAGCTACTCAGGAGGCCGAGAGAGGAGAATTGAATGAACCTGGGAGGCAGAGGTTGCCGTGAGCCGGGATCGTACCACCACACTTCAGCCTTGGCAACAAGAGTGAAACTCCATCTCAAAAAAAGAAAACAACTAAAAAAGATTCTAATCATACTAAAATCTACAGTCCAGATCCGTGAACTCAGCCAGACACGGGGACTCACACTTACAATCTCAGCATTTTGGAAGGCAAAGGTGTGAGAATCACTTAAGGCCTGGAGTTTGGGACACTCTGGGCAACATAGCAAGACTCTGTCTCTACAAAAAACTTAAAAGTTAGCTAGGCGTAGTGGCACGTCTCTGAGGCTGCAGTGAACTACGATGGTGCCACTGAAACCATAAAAATCTAGATCTTATTATTCAAAACCAGACTCTAGAATCCACCCCACACCCAGAATCCAGCTTTTAAGAATTTAGAATCCAAAGGCCATCTTACGAAATCGAGGGTTTGTGGGTTTTTGTTGTTTTTTTTCAAGATGGAGTCTTGCTCAGTTGCCCAGGCTGGAGTGCAGTGGTGCGATCCTGGCTCACAGCAACCTCCGCCTCCCAGGTTCATTCAATTCTCCTGTCTCGGCCTCCTGAGTAGCTGGGAATACAGATGCATGCCATCACGCCCAGCTGACTTTTTGTATTTTCAATGGAGATGGGGTTTCACTGTGTTAGCCAGGATGATCGCTAACTCCTGACCTCGTGATCTGTCTGCCTTGGCCTCCCAAAGTGCTGGGATTACAGGTGTGAGCCACTGAACCCAGCCTTTTTTGGTTTTTTCTTTTCTTTTTCTTTCTTTTTTTTTCTTTTTTTTTTTTTCTTTTTTGAGACAAGGTCTGGCTCTATCACCCAGGCTGGAATGCAGTGGCATGACCATGGCTCACAGGCTCAAGCCATTCATTCTCCCACCTCAGCCTCCCCAGTAGCTGGGATTACAGGTACACACCACCATGCTCAGCTAATCTTTTTTTTTTTTTTTTTTTTTGAGACAGTCTCCCACTGTTGCCCAGGCTGGAGTGCAATGTTGCAATCTCAGCTCACTGCAACTGCCACCTCCCAGGTTCAAGCAATTCTGCCCCATCCTCCCCAGTAGCTGCGATTAAAGGCACCCACCACATACCCGGCTAATTTTTGGTACTTTTAATTGAGAAGGGGTTTCACTATGTTGGTAAGGCTGGTCTCGAACTCCTGACCTGGAGATCTACCCGCCTCGGTCTCCCAAGATGCTGGGATTACAGGCGTGAGCCACGGCACCTGACCTGATTTTTTATATATTTCTGTGGAGACAGGGCTTTGCCATTTTGGTCAGGCTGGTCACGAACTTGTGAGCTCAGTCAATCCACCTGCCTTGGCCTCTCAAAGTGCTGGGATTACAGACATGAGACTCCTCACCCAGCCAAAATCCAGATACTATGCCATCCTCAGAGCCTCGAAATCACAGCCAGGTAGCAGAATTTGGTGAAGACAGAAACAAACGGATAGGTGAGGAGCTCAGCAGTACAGCACACAGTCTCTCCCAGCTGAAACCCCCTCCCAGCCTACTCCTGTGCATTTACACACACACACACACACACACACACACACACCATCAGGCTGGGTGTGGTGGCTCACGCCTGTAATCCAGCACTCTGGGAGGCCAAGCCAGGAGGATGGCATGAGCCCAGGAGTTCGAGACCATCCTGGGCAACATAGTGAGACCCTGTCTTTACAAAAAAATTAACAAAATTAACTGGGCGTGGTGGCATGAGCCTGTAGCCCCAGCTACTCAGGAGGCTGAGGAGGGAGGATCGCTTGAGCCCAGGAGTTCAAGGCTGCAGGGATCGGGCCATGATTACTCCACTGCAGTCAGGCCTGGGTGACAGAGGGAGACCCTGTCTCAAATAATAATTAATAGTAATGATAAAAGAAGCCAGGCACAGTGGCTCATGCCTGTAATCCCAGCACTTCGGGAAGCCAAGGCAGGTGGATCATGAGGTCAGGAGTTCGAGACCAGCCTGACCAACACGCTGAAACCCCGTCTCTACTAAAAATACAAAAAAAATTAGCTAGGCGTGGTGGTGAGCACCTGAAATCCCAGCTACTCAGGAGGCTGAGGCAGGAAACTCACTTGAACCCAGGAGGTGGAGGTGGCAGTGAGTCGAGATCACACCACTGCACTCCAGCCTTTCCAGCCTGGGAGACACAGCAAGACTCTGTCCAAAAAACAACAACAATAATAAAAGAAAAATAAAAAGACAAACCATAACCCAAAGACACACCTCCCTCTGTATGCTCTTGTCCCAGCATGCAGACACACGTACATCTGTGCATCCACATAATCTCAGTGCTCTGCCCCCAGCCATCCCACCAAAGTCCTAGACACACAACCACCACACAGAGACACACACAAACCCATGCTTTCCAGCCCTGCACCCAGACACACGTGAAGAATTGTGGAGACTGGGATGGGTGTGCACCCATGCGCGTGCACACACACACACACACACACACACACAATCTCTCTCTCTCTCTCTCTCTCCCCCCCACCCCCAAGAAGCTCCACTCCTTGGCAGTCACGCAGCCCCTGGGAATGGGACCCCAGGGATGGGGCTCGCCTCGCACCCCCATGCCCACCTCAGCCCTCCCCCGCCTGGCCGGCTGGCGGGCTTTAATACAGATGCCAAACTCATAATTGTAACTGAGGGTGACAGGGTCACCTTGAGCCCCAGATGCTCGTGCGGTGACAGATGGCGTTGGCAAACCTGATTAGCGGCCCCCGTGCCAGCGCCTGTGGCACCTGCATCCCCCACCCCTCCCCCGCTCTCCCAGCACTCATTACCCACCCATTACTGGGCCTGGGGGGCGGGGTGGGGGCCGGCTGGCACTGCCCGGGAGGGGGCAGGGACTCTGGGGGCCCCCCTGGCACCAAGGTTCCCAGCTGGCTCCCCTGGCTGGCAGGAGGTGGGTACAGAGGAGGGAGGGAAGGCAGACGCCTCATGCCTACCAGAGGGCGAGTTGCCTATGGTGCCAGGGCTGAGCTGCCCACTCGGACACTGCCTGGGGTTTGGCACAGAACTCTGGAGGGAACAGGGAGCGGGCAGAACCCTTCATGACCCTCCCCTCCAGGGCCCTTTGAACAAGGGGCCTTGGGAGCTGCCTGCCTGGCCCGTTCCCATCTCTCTGTGAGGCCTGCAAGGTCAGGGGTCTCTGGCTCCCACGCCCCACTGGCCCATCTGTTTCCTCAGGTCCCCTCCTGCTCCCCTCACCTGAGGCCTTCCTTCCTGAGGCAGGAAGAGGGCTGAGAAGGGCCCGGCCAGCTCCTGCCGCACGCTCCGGGGGGCATTTGGAGGCAACACTCACAACGCCACATGTCCCTGCGTCTGTGCCAGACAGGCCCATCTGCCAGGGCCCTGGTTCCAGCCGCCCAAAGCCAGGCTGCCCTCACCGGCTGAAGACCCTGCGCCCCAGCTGGAGAGGGAGCGCTCAGATGCCCACACCCCGTCATGGGGCCACCCACTCCCAGGGAACCCCAGTGGGAGGGAAAAAAAGATGCACGTATAGACAGCCGGACTCAGCCAACATTTATGGTTTCTGCGGAATGCCACGCCAGCCATGAGGCTGTGTGGAGACTCAGGAGGGGGGTCTGGGAGGGGCACAGCGGCCACTATCAAGGCAAGAGGCAGCTGGGAACACGAGGGTCCTGCCTCTGTCTCAGGGACCCCAGGATTTCCCCTAGCAACTGTCTGCTCAACCACTTTTGTTTTTGTTTTTTTTTTTCAGTGTCCCTAGGACGAGGTCATCGCTGTATCTCTCAGTCTGGGTGGGGCCATCTGCCCTCCCTGCAGCTGAGAGTGTCTTTGACCTCATTCTATAGGAGATAGTTTGGCCTAGTGATTAACAGTGGATTGATTCCAGCACTTCGGGAGGCCGAGGTGGGCAGATCACCTGAGGTCAGGAGTTCAAGACCAGTCTAGCCAACATGGTGAAACCCCATCTCTATTAAAAATACAAAATTAGCCAGGTGTGGTGGTAGGTGCCTGTAGTCCCAGCTACTCAGGAGGCTCAGGCAGGAGACTCGCTTTACCCTGGGAAGTGGAGGTTGCAGTGAGCTGAGATCGTGCCCCTGCACTCCAGCCTGGGTAACAGAGAGAGACTTTGTCCCCAAAAAAAAAAAAAAAAAGGATCTGAATCCTGGCTGTGCCGCTTACTGTGGTGTGACTCTGGGTGAGTGGCTTTGCCACTCCAGGCCTTGGTTTTCTCATCTGTAAAATGGGGTGATGTTAGCAGCTATCCCATTGAGCTGCTGTAAGGATTTCATGAGTTAGTACCTGTCAAATGCCTAACACGGGTCCTGGTAAGCAGTGAGTGGTCCATCAGTGTGTGCTATCACTATCAGTGATGCAACTCCAGGACTGGCACTGTGTCTAGTGTCTCCAGGAGCAGGGTGAGGACTCTGGGGACCTGTCTGTCAAACCCTGCATCCCCGGTCTCTTGAACCAGAGTTCATCATCCAGGTCTGCGTCTTTCTTGGTCCATCTCCCCTCATCTCTCCAAGGTGCATGTCCCCGTGCACCTGTCCACGATGCTCAGTTTAAGCCTTCGGGCCGCAATGACACTCCTCGATCAGCTCGGTGGATATCTTCACCCATCGACGGGAGGCTGGGCTGCCAGCGTGACACCACAGGACCACGGGTGCCCAGCGCTTGCGAGCAGGCATGCAGCTGTTACACAGGACTAGTGGAGTGGGGTCCGAGCCAGGGACGTAGAGAGAGGAGCAGTGACCAAAGCAGAGGTGATTTTGGAGGCGTGTGGCTGAGCAGCCGGGCCGGGAGAGCACCTGGGGCCAGAGGCATGGAGACAGTCAGGGTGGTGGAGTCTGGGGCCAGTGGTGAGGATAATCACCTCTCCACTTCCACGTCACCTTGAGAGGCATGGATGCTGCAGCCAGGCTGCCTGGCTTCAAATCCTGACTCTGCCATTTCTTGGCTGTGACATGGGGGCAAATTAGCATCTCTGACCTCTCGTTTCCTCACCTGTAAATTCATTGTAATTTAACAAGGATGGCCAGGCACAGTGGCTGACATCTGTAATCCCAGCATTTTGGGAGGCTGAGGTGGGTGGATCACTTCAGGCCAGGAGTTTGAGACCAGCCTGGCCAATATGGCGAAACCCCGTCTCTACTGAAAACACAAACAGCCAGGCATGGGAGCGCACACCTGTAGTCCCAGTTACTCGGGAGGCTGAGGCAGGAGAATTGCTTGAGCCTGGGAGGCAGAGGTTGCAGTGAGCCAAGATCATGACTGCACTCCAGCCTGGGTGACAGAGCAAGACTCTGTCTCAAAAAAAAAGCAAATAAGTTATTAAACGAGGAAAAGACGAAATCACTCTAGGCCTATCAATGAAGGGGATTCATTTAGGGAACTGATTACCCAGGAAATAGAGGGGTTGAAAGCCAAGGGCTGGACGTGGTGACTTGGAGACCAGCCTGGGCAATATAGTAAGATCCCATCTCTACAAAGAAATTTTTTTAAAAAATTAGCTAGGCTAATGTGCATCAGTAGACCAAGCTACTCAGAAGGCTGAGGCAAGAAGATTGCTTCATCCTGAGTTCAAGTATGCAGTGAGCTATGATCCCAGCTCGTGCCTGTAATCTCAGTACTTTGGGAGGCCAAGGCAGGTGGATCACCTGAGGTCAGGAGTTCGACCAGCCTGGCCAACATGGTGAAACCCCATCTCTACCAAAAATGCAAAAGTTAGCTGGAGTGTGATGGTGCGTGCCTGTAATCCCAGCTACTCAGGAGGCTGAGGCAGGAGAATGGCTTGAACCTGGGAGGCAGAGGTTGCAGTGAGCCAAGATTGCTCCACTGCACTCCAGCCTGGGTGACAGAGTGAGACTCCATCTCAAAAAAGAGAGAGAGAGAGAGAGAGAGAGAGAGAGAGCGAGAGAGAGAAGAGATGGGGTCTCACTCTGTCAACCAGGCTGCAATGCAGTGGTGTGATCATAGCTCACTGCAGCCTCCAGCCTCTGGTCTCAGTCTCCTGAGTAGCTGGGACTACAGGTATGTGCCACCATGTTTTGCCTTATTATTAACTGATTTTGCAGAGGTGAGAATTAAGGCTCGAAGAAGGGAAGCTACTCACCATGGGTCACCCAGAAATCAGCAATTAGAGAATGTGAATGCAGATACTCCTGACTTGAAAGATTGGGTCTTTGCTAGCACACTGCGTGAATTCCCAAGGCCCTTATGGAGCACTGACTGAATGCAGCTGTGACAGTCCTCCTCCAATCCATCTCATTCAGGCTGCCCAAGAGTCCTATGAGGCAGGTACTACTTTTTTTTTTTTTGAGATGGAGTCTCACTCTGTCACCAGACTGGAGTGCAGTGATGTGATCTCGGCTCACTGCAACCTCCGCCTCCCGGGCTCAAGTGATTCTCCTGCCTCAGCCTCCCAAGTGGCTGGGACTACAGGCACACACCACCACACCCAGCCAATTTTTGTATTTTTTAGTAGAGATGGGGTTTTACTCTGTTGGTCAGGATGGTCTCGATCTCTTGACCTCATGATCCGCCCGCCTGGTCCTCCCAAAGTGCTGAGATTACAGGCGTTTGAGCCACCTGGCCTGGCTAGCAGGTACTACACTACTATGCATTCATTCATTCATTCATTCATTCATTCAACAAACACTAGTGGCTGGGCACAGTGGCTCATGCCTGTAATCCCAGCAGTTTGGGAGGCTGAGGCAGGTAGGTCACATGAGGCCAGGAGCTCGAGACCAATCTGGCCAACATGGCAAAACTCCGTTTCTACTAAAAATACAAAAATTAGCTGAGCCTGGCAGTGCACATCTGTAATCCCAGCTACTCAGGAGGCTGAGGCACGAGAATCACTTGAGCCCGGGAGGCAGAGGTTGCAGTAAGCCAAGATTGCATTGCTGCACTCCAGTCTGGGTGACAGAGTGAGGCTGTTGCAAAAAAAAAGAAAGAAAGAAAGTTGGTATATGAAGCAGGGGAGGAGGGCTCACAACTGTAATCCCAGGAACTCAGAAGGCTGAAGTGGGATGACTGAGCCCAGAAGCTCAAGACAGCCTGGGCAACATGGGGAGACTCCTCTGTCTGAAAAAAACAAAAACAAAAACAAAAACAAAAACAAAAACCAGAAAGAAAGGGCCGGGCGCGGTGGCTCACGCCTGTAATCCCAGCACTTTGGGAGGCCAAGGTAGGTGGATCACAAGATCAAGAGATCAAGACTATCCTGGCCAACACAGTGAAACCCCATCTCTACTAAAAATACAAAAATTAGACAGGTGCAGTGGCTCACACCTGTAATCCCAGAACTTTGGGACGCCAATATGGGTGGATCACCTAGAGTCAGGAGTTCAAAACCAGCCTGACCAACATGGAGAAACCCCATCTCTACTAAAAAATATATAAAAATTAGCCAGGTGTTGTGGCACATGCCTGTAATCCCAACTACTAGGGAGGCTGAGGCAGCATTGCTTGAACCCAGGAGGCGAGATTGCAGTAAACTGAGATGGTGCCACTGCGCTCCAGCCTGGCAACAGAGCGAGACTCTGTCTCAAAAAACAACAGGCCGGGTGCAGTGGCTCACGCCTGTAATCCCAGCACTTTGGGGGGCCGAGGGGAGCAGATCATGAAGCCAAGAGTTCAAGACCAGCCTAGCCAACATGGTGAAACACCGTCTCTACTAAAAAATACAAAAAATTAGCTGAGTGTGGTGGCGCGTGCCTATAATCCTAGCTACTTCGGAGGCTGAGGCAGGAGAATTGATTGAACTGGGACCAAGAAGCAGAGGTAGTAGTGAGCCGAGAATGCGCCACTGCACTCCAGGGTGGGCTACAGAGCGAGACTCCGTGTCAAAAAAAAAGAAAAGAAAGTTGGTGTCTGAGGAAAAGGAGGCTGGTGTGGTAGAAGCAAAGTAAGTGAGGGGGAGACAGGGAGGAGGTGAAACCAGGGAGGTAAAAGGATCAGAAAGTAGAGAAACTTGTGGGCTGCGGGGAGGACTTGGGCTTCTGTTCTGAGTAAAGCGGGAGCCATGCAGGGTTCTAGCGGGAGGAGGAACCAGATCTGACTCTGGTGCTCACAGGCGTTCTCTGGCTGCCGAATGGAAAAATACACTTGGGGGTGAAGAGGGCCATGATAGTGGAATCAAGGAGACTAGGATAGAGGCAACTGCATCTGTCTCGGGGGAGGCACTAAGGTCCTATTTTACAAGGGGGGAAACTGAGGCACAGAGACATTCAGGTGGATACAGGACTTGAACCCAAATCTGTCTGGGGCCACAGCCTGTGCCTTCTGCCAATGCTGAGACCCAGCCGTCTCCTCCCCACACCCACCCACTCACCTGAACAAAGGGCACGGCCTTACACATCCCCTGGGTCACTTCCTGAGGGTTCAGCGGCAGAGTCACAGCAGCCGCCTTATCCTGCCCACGCTGCAGCCTACCCATATCCAGCTGCCTGGCTTTCTGCAGGCTCAAGAAGGCCTTCCAGCTCCCAAGGGCTGGGGCTGGCACCAGTGGGGGTTGGGCCCCTGGGCCCAGAGCCCAAGTCTGATTGGCTGCAGCCCAGGACTGAGGCTGGGGAGCCTGGGGTCCAGGCCTCGCTGAGCCTGTGGACAAGGCCCCACTAAGCAGGCACAGAAGAGTGGACAACCTGCCAAGAAGCATCTGCTTGTCCATGCGTCTGTCCGTCTGTTCGTTCAGGACTGGGCTCAGGGTCTCTAGCAGTCAACCCTGCTGTCTGGTGAGTGGCATCTGAGCCCTCTGGACCCGTTTTTAATCTCTTGACCCCTCCTGGATAGCCTGGGAGGCATTTCTGTAGACCCACAGCAGGGGAGGTGAGTAAACTCAGACCTGCTGGGTTCCCACACCTCCTCCCAACCTGCTGGGAGACATGGGGGCTGGGCCTGCAGCGTGCAAGCTGTGGGGACCAGGAAAGACAGGTCTGGGGCCAGGGGCTGAGACACACAATGCCTGAAGCCCGTGGGCAGCTGCTTTTCCAGTCCTGGGATCCCGTTCATCCAATTAGCAAAAGCACACTTTGGGCCTGGCTCGGAGACTCACACCTGTGATCCCAGCACTTTGGGAGGTCGAGACTCGTAGATCACGTGATGTCAGGAATTCAAAACCAGCAGGGTTATGTCTACTTTAAAAATACAAAAATTGGGCTGGGTGCGGTGGCTCACACCTGTGATCCCAGCACTTTGGGAGGCCAAGACGGATGGATCACCTGAGGTCAGGAGTTTGAGACCAGCCTGGCCAACAAGGTGAAACCCCATCTCTACTAAAAATACAAAAAATTAGATATGGTGGCGGGCACCTGTAATCCCAGCTACTCAGGAGGCTGAGGCAGGAGAATCGCTTGAACCTGGGAGGCAGAAGTTACAGTGAGCCAAGATGGTGCCACAGCACTCCAGCCTGGGCAACAAGAGATACTGTCTCAAAAATAATAACAATAAAAACTATGGTTGGGTGCAATGGCTCACATCTGTAATCCTAGAACTCTGGAAGGCCGAGACAAGTAGATCATCTGAGGTCAGGAGTTTAAGACCAGCCTGGCCAACATGGTGGAACCCCATCTCTACAAAAATGCAAAAATTAACTGGTTGTGGTGGTATGTGCCTGTAATCCCAGCTACTCGGGAGGCTGAGGCAGGAGAATCGCTTGAATTTGGGAGGTGGAGGTTTCGGTGAGCCAAGATCACACTATTGCACTCCAGCCTCGGCGACAAAGCAAGACTCCATTAAAAAAACAAAAACAAAACAAAACAAAAAAAACCAGCTTACCTTGCAGCCAGGTTTCTTGGGTTCAACCCAAGCATTCCGATTTCCTGGCCATGCAAACCTGAGCAAGTCCCTTAACCATTCTGAGCCTTACCTCCTTTGTCTGTAACATGAGGATAAAACAGCTCCTACCTCATTGGCTTGTTCTGAGGACCTAAGGAAGTAATTTATGTAAGGAGCTTAAAACAGAGATTCCTACACAGTAACACCATGAATCAGCTATGATTAACATTATTGCTGCTAGGTTTTTTTGTTCTTTTTTTTTTTGGCGGGGTGGGGGTGGGGTGGATGGAGTCTTGCTCTGTTACCCAGGCTGGAGTGCAGTGGCGTGATCTTGGCTCACTGCAACCTCCACCTCCTCAGCCTCCTGAGTAGCTGGGGTTACAGATGTGAACAAGCACACCCGGCTAATTTTTGTATTTGTAATAGAGACAGGTTTCACTATATTGGCCAGGCTGGTCTCAAACTCCTGACCTCAAGCGATCCACCCACTTCAGCCTACCAAGTGCTAGGATTACAGGCGTGAGCCACCATGCCCAGCCAGTTCTTTTTATATATTTTTTCTCTTTTATTTGGCACACAGTTTCACTATGTTGCCCAGGCTGGTCTCAAAATGCTGGGATTATAGGCAATGGAGGCTATCTTGTCTGACTTTTGTTTTCCTTTCTTTTCCTTCCTTCCTTTCTTCCTTCCTTCTTTCCTTTCTGACAGAGTGTTGCCCTGTCTCCAAGCTGGAGTGCAGTGGCATGACCTTGGCTCACCGCAACCTCTGCCACCTGGGTTCAAGCGATTCCCCTACCTCAGCCACCTGAGTAGCTGGAACTACAGCACGCACCATCACGCCCGGCTAATTTTTTGTATTTTAGTAGAGACGGGGTCTTACCATGTTGGCCAGGATGGTCTTGATCTCCTGACCTCGTGATTCACAAGCCTCAGCCTCCCCAAGTGCTGGGATTACAGGCGTAAGCCACTGAGCCCAGCCCACTTTTTCTTCTTCTTTTGTGTGTATGTGTGTTTGGAGACAGTCTCCGTCTCTCACCCAGGCTAGAGTGCATGATCTCAGCTCACTGCAACCTCCCCTTCTGGGTTCAAGTGATTCTCCTGCCTCAGCCTCCCGAGTAGTTGGGACTACAGGCCTCTGCCACCCACCATGCCTGGCTAATTTTTTTTTTTTTTTTTTTGTATTTTAGTAGAGATGGGGTTTCCCCATGTTGCCCAGGGTGGTCTTGAACTCCTGAGTTCAGACAATCCGCCAATCTTGGCCTCCCAAAGTGCTGGGATTATAGGCATAAGCCACCACGCCCAGCCTTTTTTGTTTATTTGTTTGGTTTTTGTTGTTATTGTTGAGATGGGGTCTTGTTTTATCACCCAGGCTGGAGTGCAATGGCACAATCACAGCTCACTGCAGCCTCGACCTCCCAGGATCAAGGAATCCTCCTGCCTCAACGACACTGAATAGCTGACACTACAGGTGCATGACACCATGCCTGGCTGATTTTTAAATTTTTTGTAGAGATGGGGTCTTACTATGTTACCAGGTTTGTCTCAAACTGCTGGCCTCAAGTGATCCTTCTGCCTCAGCCTCCCAAAGTGCTGGGATGAAAGACACACACCACCATGCCCAGCTGTTTGATTTTCTTTAACACTCAGTATAGGCCAGACTTAATTCTGAGCCCTGAGGATACAGAAGAACAAGACAGAAAATGGGTCCTCACTACCATGGATTTTACACTGTGCAGAAAACAGACAATAAAAGATAATAATAACTCAATGGCTCATGCCTGTAATGCCAGCACTTTGGGAGTTTGAGGTGGGCAGATAACTTGAAGTCAGGAGTTCAAGACCAGCCTGGACAACATGGTGAAACCCTGTCTCTACTAAAAAAGTACAAAAATTAGCGGGCGAGGTTGGGCCCAGTGACTCATGTCTGTAATTCCAGCACTTTGGGAAGCTGAGGTGAGCAGATCACCTGAGGTCAGGAGTTCAAGACCAGCCTGACCAACATGGAGAAACCCCATCTCTACTAAAAATACAAAATTAGCTGGGCATGGTGGCGCATGCCTGTAATCCCAGCTACTCTGGAGGCTGAGGCAGAAGAATCGCTTGAACCCAGGAGTCGGAGGTTGCAGTGTGCCAAGATCGCGTCACTGCACTCCAGCCTGGGCAACAAGAGCAAAACTCCATCTCAAAAACTGAAAAAGAAAAATTGCTGGGTGTGGTGGCGCGCTGTAATCCCAGCTACCTCGGGATGTTGAGGCAGGAGAATTGCTTGAACCTGGGAGGCGGAGGTTGCAGTGAGCCAGATCATGCCACTGCACTCCAGCCTGGGTGACAGAGTGAGATCCTCTCAAAACTAATAATAATAATTAATAATAAAGATTATTTCAGTCTTAATTAAGCAGCTATTAATATGGGATGTTCCTTAGAAGGGTCAGGGCGGGGGCTTCTGTCTCCGGGGTGATCAGGGAAGTCCCCCCTGAGTAGGTGACATTTTTACAGACACCTGAGATGGCTCTGGAGGCGGTGGGAACAGCCTGGTGGTGGGGGATGGAGGTTGGGAATGTTAGAAGCAGATAAAGAGGGTGAGAGTCGCATCCCAGGCTTTGGGGCCCCGGAGGTGCCTGGCGGGGGGGGGGGGTCCTGGCTGGGTCCTGGCACTTCTATCTCGCACCCAAGTGAGGAGCTTGAAAGCCACCGGGGCCGTGGGAAGATGTGAGGCCGGACCTTCCCGCGCCCTGCCCTCCACGGAGCTGCGAGTGCGATGCGGCGTGCTCGCCCTCTGGCGGCGGCTTCCGGTACTGCGTGGCGGTCGTGCCCAGGACACCTGCCTCCCAGACACCCAGCCTGGAGTAGCGGGCGTGCTTCCCAACCCAGCCCTCTACAGCCAGCTCCTGACTGTACCCCAACCTGCCCTTCTGCTGTCCTCTAGACCCAGATAACGACAGTTCTGTCCTGCCAGGTGCTAAGGCTACGAACTTTGGAGCACCCTTGACCGATCTCTAACACCAATCCCCGCTCCCAATCTTATATGACAGAAACTCCGGTCAGCTCCAGAATCTACCCAGAATCCGCATGCTTCTCACCGACTCCTTGTCCCCCTATCTGGATCAGTGCAGTCACTTCCTTCCAGGTCTCCCAGCTCCTGCCCTGGCCACCCATCCCCCACAGTCTATTCCTCCCACAGCGGCCAAAGGGTGCCTGTGAGCACCTGAGTTAAGTCTCGTCCCTCTGATCAGAATCCTCCATGGCTCCCATCTGCCTCAGAAAAAAACCTCAGGAGGAGGCCACGAGGCCCAGCAGGATGTGCCCTCATCACCTCCCCACTCTCGTGTCCCCACAACCCCTCCTTTTTTCCCTCCTGCCACACTTGCTCATTTTGTTTCTCCAAACGTACCAGGCACATTCCCTAATACTATGGTGCTACACAAGACTGCAGAAGCTCTTTAAATTTTAGCATGGAGAGATATCCCCAGCCGGGTGCAGTGGCTCACTTCTGTAATCCCAGTACTTTGGGAGGCTGAGGTGGGCGGATCACCTGAGGCCAGGAGTTCAAGACCAGCATGGCCAACATGGTGAAAACCCATCTCTACTGAAAAAACAAAAAAGTAGCTGGGTGTGGCGGCACATGCCTGTAATCCCAGCTACTCAGGAGGCTGAGGCAGGAGAGTCGCTTGAACCCAGGAGAAGGAGGTTGTGGCAAGCCAAGATCACACCATTGCACTCCAGCCTGGGTGGCAAGAGCGAAACTCCATCTCAAAAAAAAAAATTCCCCCAAAAATTAAGTTAAAAGAAAATGAATAGGCTATCATTCCAACCTTTTGGGGAAAGAGAGAAAATTTACAGCTATTGTTTACTTGTATTTGCATGTTGCAAAAAGCAGCCAGGTTTTCCTGCTGAGGAGGGGCATGGAAATGTGCAGATAGTATGAGGGAGCCTCACTCTAGACTTTAAAAATTGTGGCCGGGCACAGTGGCTCACGCCTGTAATCACAGAACTTTCGGAGGCCAAGGCAGGCGGATCATGACGTCAAGAGATCAAGACAAGCCTGGCCAACATGGTGAAATCCTGTCTCTAGTAAAAATACAAAAATTAGCTGGGCGTGGTGGCACATGCCTATAGTCCCAGCTACTGAGGCAGGAGAATCGCTTGAACCAGGAGGTGGAGGTTGCAGTGAGCTGAGATTGTACCACTGCACTCCAGCCTGGCGACAGAGCGAAACTCCGTCTCAAAAGAAAAAAAAAAAAAAGAAAGAAAAATAATTT